TCCCTGAGGCTTTGCAGCTTGTGAAGGAGCAGAAACTCTACAGTGAAGCTCTGCGTCTGTACACAGCAGACAGTCCTCATTACAAGGTACAAACACAGCTGAGGACATTTTTCACCCTGAAGTTACTGGGTGGCTAACTGGTGGTCAGACTATTTGAATGCTACAGTATATGTTTACTCTGTTTAATCACTTTAGGCTTCAACTTGTGATGGGCATGTCATTTTTTAATAGTGTAATTATTTAATTGATTAAAATGTATTTTTGAAATCACATTTATTTTGCTACATTTGGCAACACCAGTTATGTATCTACAGTATGGTTGGTTGTGTAGGTGTATAATAGTTTAGGTGGTTAAATACACTTTCTTTTTCCAGTTTTCAGATAACTGAATTGTTTAGGATTATCCTAAACATGGATTTAAACAATGCTTGATTTAAAATACTTGTTTTATGAGGAAGGAAATACACTCGACTCAAATGCGTTTTTTGGAGAGTAACACTGAACTTTGACCTCTGACCTCTAGGCTCTAAGCTGTGCTTACGCCCAGCACCTAGTGGAGCAGCAACAGGCAGAGCCAGCCGGCCTGTTGCTATGGCGATGCGGAGAGCCGGTCAGTGCCCTGCAGGCATTCGCCAGCAGCTCCAGCTGGAGAAACGCCATCTGTGTGGCACAGCAGATCCCTCTACCACCAGACCAGTTAGCTCTGCTGGCAAGAGACCTGGCAGGTAACCACAACAACAGGTAGATAGACTGAACCATGGAAATGCAGGTTGACAGTCAGACAGACAGGTAGCCAGTTAGCTGGTTGTACTTTTCAATTAGGGTGTCATTGCATGTTCATCCTATAACTTGTTTTTCCTTCCTTTTATAGAGAAGCTGACTGAACAGCGACGGTACTCAGAAGCTGCTCTGCTGTTGGACCAGTACGCCAAAGTAAGACCCTGTGCAGGAGGAAGCTGCTGGACAAAATGGTTTCTTATGAAGCATTAATAAATTAAGAATCACCCCGCAGAAACAGACAACTTCTGGTCTACTACTGCTGCTGCTTGTTGAGGCTGAAAGCTCTGCATTTCTTCGTTTCCTATAGGACTGTGAGGAGGCCATCTTGGCTCTCATCAATGGTTCAGTCTGGGAGGAGGCGCTCCGGTTGGTCAGTAAAAAAAAGTTACTACTTTTTTTTAATTCATTTTTGGCATTACTGTTTTGTAAAATGTGAAAAGCATTAACATTAAGTTGAAGCACAATGTAAAGCATGTGGGTATGAAGTGAAAAATACTTAATCTGCAGCACAGACTTTTCATATGGTCAGCTCTTATATGACTTACTTGGGGCTTATGAGAGATATCTGTCTGCTACAGATTTACATGCACAACAGACAGGACATCACTGAAACCAACCTCAAACCAGCTCTGTTGGAAGGTAAAGATAATTCTTACCGGCCAGTTGTTCTTCTACTGTTTATTCTTAAACAGACCAGAAATAACAGAAAACTTAAACAGAGACACAAAATCTTGTGCAGTTATGATGTTGTCTTGTGTCAGCTGTCAGCACCCAGACTGCCTTCCTGGAGGCTCAAGTAGCGACGTTCACTCGGCACAGGACTCGACTGGCTGTAGTTCGTGAGCAGAAAGAGAAGGCCAGACTGGACATGCTGGGTGAGAATAAGTCAGAATTTACAGGACATACAGTATCTGAGCAAACATCTCCTGTCTCCTAACGTCATACTCAGCTCACTCTCACTAGGAAAGACTTACATTAGTGATTACTTTTTATTTGTTTTTTTTTTTTTACAGTGAAAAAGGTCAAAATGTTCAGTCTGACCATCTGTATGCTCAGTATGTTTCAGTCATTTTACTACCACGATATGGCTGAATGCACTTTGTGGAATTGTAGCTCTCATTTTTTGTAAGCAACCACTTTATTAAAATAATAATAATAATCATCATCGTCTTTATTTATTTTCAAAAACAAGTTACAAAGTGCTTTAACAAGTGTAAAGACAATAATATCCAAAAGACAGTAATACAAAAACAAAAAGATAAAAGCAAGAAAACATTGAAAAGACTAAAATACACGTTTAAGATAAATATAAAATTAGTAAAATAAAATAAAAGGGATAAAATAAAGTCAAATAAGATCGGGAAAGGCTCTCCTATAAAAGTATGTTTTAAGAAGGGACTTAAAACAGTTCACTGACTCAGCCGACCTGATTTCCTCGGGCAGGCTGTTCCAGAGCCTCGGGGCCCTGACAGCAAACGCTCTGTCCCCTTTAGTTTTCAGTCGAGACTCTGGAACAGACAGCAGACCTCTGCCCGAGGATCTCAAGGTACGTGCTGGTGCGTATGGGACTAAAAGGTCAGAAATATAACAAGGCGAGAGGCCATGAAGAGCTTTAAAAGTGATCAATAGCATTTTAAAGTCAATTCTAAAACATACTGGGAGCCAGTGTAATGAAGCTAAAATAGGAGTAATGTGGTCATATTTCTTTGTTCTGGTTAAAAGCCTGGCAGCTGAGTTCTGGACAGTCTGGAGTCGATCAATAGATTTTTGGGTTAAACAGGTGAAAAGGCTGTTGCAATAATCCAGGCGTGATGAGATGAAGGCGTGTAAAATGGTCTCGGTGTCCTTAAAAGTTGACATAGATTGAATTTTTGTTATATTTAAGTTGATAAAAACATGATTGAACAAGCTTTGTGGTGTGCTGCTCGAAATTTAAATTGCTATCAAACCAAACACAAAGATTCTTTGCCACAGGCTTAATGAGATTTACTAGGGAACCAGCAGATGGCAGTATTTGCCATCTGTTGGGAGTTGGAGGAAATTATTTGACATCCATTTTTTAACTTCACAAAGGCAGTCAATAAGTGAACTCAGCATTCCAGGATCTGTGGATCTGACGGGCATGTACATTTGTGTGTCATCAGCATAATTATGAAAAGAAACAGCCAACTGGCTTGTACCTGCTAAAGAGTATTGAATAGAGGTCAGGAGGGAAAACAAACAAGAAAGAATTAAGAAATGAATCAAGTAGAAAACACATTTTATGTTTATATTCTGCATTTGAAATCGTAATAAAAAACAAACTTTTCAGTAACCCCTCTGTCTTCTTCATCAGATGAAGATGGTCCAGACTGTCCTGATGCTGAGCTTTACTCTGAAGCCAGTAGTGTGATGACTGGTTCCAAATACTCCCAGAGTAACTCCCGCATCTCCTCGTAAGACAAACACACACACAACTAAAATTGCTGTTCAAATTGTGGTGATTTCCACATTGTAAATTGTAGCTCATGTGATAAATAATACACTTTTGGTAACTGGTATAATATTTAATGTTTATTTGATCATGCTCTGCCTGCAGGCGGTCATCAAAGAACCGTCGGAAAGCAGAGCGGAAGAAGTTAAGTCTGAAGGAAGGAAGCCCAATGGAGGACAGAGCTCTGATGTACGCTTTGGGGGAAATCATCACCACTGTGGACAAGATGAGAGGTACGGGAACCAGCACTCCAAGGCTCTCAAACATTTATATTTCCTCTACTTTTAATAACTTTGATAATGTTTAGAATATCCATGTTTGATGTGGCAGTTCCCCTCCAGATTGCAAAAACTAAGATGAATTTGTGTCTGCTTGTTGAAAGATGACCACAATTCTGTGGTGTACAGTATAGAGGCAGCAGTAAAAACAGTAGGAAGCAGCCAGGGATGAGGGGAAATGTGGTGTTTCGGAGGAGCATTTAATCAGCATTTACTGGACCTGCACCCCCACAATTAAAACTATACGAAACCATTTATGTCTCCTTCTTAGAGCAGTTGTCTGTATAATCACAGCAGTAATTCATCCAGTTTGACATTTGTCCCCCCCCCCCCGTTGCAGAGGAAGTGCACAACCTGCTGAAGGCCCTGGTGCTGTTCCAGTTTGACAAACATGCGGAGAAGCTTCAGCTGTCCTACGAGGAAGCTCTGCATATGATGGAGGCAGCAGTTCCTGAGGTGTGGTCTGAAGGCCTGCAGAACAATCAAGCGCCGGTAAATATACCATATTATCATATTTTTGTACTCTTTTACTAATACTATTACACTAATCTAATTATAGGTCTGTTGCTGTGGTTGCTTTAAAGTAAATGAAACACAGAATTAAACATTTTGGTTGAGGAATGAGTGTACATGAAAAAGAAAACGAGATGAGAAAAAAAAAATTGCAGATTGTGTTAAAACACTCCTGCTTGCATCCATTTTGTGTGTATGTGAGCTAGGAGAAGGCACTTTTGTTCATATTATGATTATTATATATTCTTTGTATTTACGGTATTTTTTTATTAACTTTTGCTTTTCAGCTGACCGGGCCGAACGCGACTGCAAACAGCATCATGGCTTCTTTCCAGCAGCAGCAACAGAGACCTGCAGTTTCACAACAAGGTGAGCAGAATTTGTAGTTTGCAGATGTTTGTCATTGTCTTCGCCTTTTTAGTCACATATGCACGATTAGCACACTGTTATTTTATTTTTTAAATGCATATCTTGTCTGTCATATGTGAGCAAACACTCAGAAATGGGTTGGTTGTAAAGTGTAAAGACCGTAGGGATCTATGGAAAGATGCATGTAACAGATGTTTTTGTCTTTGCAGCTGCTGAGGTCCTGGCGCCACCAAAAATGAGAAACGGTGTCAAGTGGAAACTCTCTATTCTTACATAAATTAGTTTAAATTTTTTTCTTTTTTTTTTTTTTTTAAACCTGTAAAGTCAAATAGTAATTATGTAATAAATATTCAGTTAATGTCTCCTTTCTAAATGTCTTCATTGTCTGGGGTTGAGAAACATACTTACATGATATCACATCCAGGTATTTCCAGAATTTACAATAGAGTTTGATGTCAAATTTTCTTTCAGTGATTTATGTGAGCAGGCCTTGGAACTAGTCCAAAGAATGAGGGCCTCTCCCCACCGCTTTCTACACCCTCAGCAGCAGCAGGAACACAATACATAACAGAGACAGTGACACCCTACAGGATTCAAGTTTTTAATATTTTTATTTCGGGTTTACGAGTGCAAGCAAATTCATTATAATTTTCTACAGTGAAAATTAATTGCTCGGTTTCAATCGATGAAATTAAAGTATGTAGAGACAGGTTGTCACAATGTCAAGAAATCATTCAGAACAGATGTTTTGCTGTTTACAAATGAATTTGCTGCAGTCTATTTAACTATCTTTATGTCATGGCTTTCTATGTCTGTGTCAGAACTGAAGCTCTGTCATGCATCACAGTTGTATATCTGAGAAATCTTTCTAAAAATATCAGTTCATGCTGCATCATAGCTCACGTGGTTGTGTGCAAAAGTCCAGGCCTGAGGAGTCAAGTGGGACACTGGTTCTGGGTCTGGATTGGGCTGGTAAGAAGAGCCTACTGCCTCCCGCTGGCAGTCTGGTGCAGGATGGGCCAAATGTTCACACTACATAATACTTTACTTTCTGCAGGAGTTTGGGATTGTATTGCTTTAAAAACATAACTCCTTTTCACGATACAAGATTTTCCACAAACCTTACATACTGTTGGTTGTTTTACTTGATACTTTTTGGAGTAGCTTCATGTGTCTTTGCAGTACAATAATCCCGAAATGTATAGTTTGTTTTTAAACTTTTAAATAAACAAACAAACAGTATTCTATGAACATATTTAAGTGATAAAGTTAGTATGTTGCTAAAGCATTTAGACGATGACACATTTTATTTTTTGGCTCAATATTCCTACAACATAAATTTGAATTGAAACTGTGACCATGAATGTAAAGCTGTGCCTAATTTCAGTGTAAAGTAAAAAAGTACAGTGATGTTGAGGTTCTGTTACAGTGTAGAAATAATTCCTAAATGGGATGTGAAAACATTTAAAGCTCAAAGTCAACACTTTACCCAACAACACTGTATAAAAGTTTTCACATATAATAATATATAGTAACAATACAGGAAGTTGTCTTCAGTAAAGTGGCTGGTGTGAGTCAAAAATTAATTTTAATTGTGTTTTTGAGAACTTAACTTGTGATCTTGCTGACAGCATAACAACTTAGCCTGATACATGGAAAAGACATGTAATGTGATTCATCAACAGCCATAAATGTTTCTTAAGAAAGAAGCTGTCTCTTCAGTTGTTCTGCTGCTCCACAGCAGAAGATGAAACAGTTGGTTTGTCGTGTCTTTGTGTACAGGTGTAAAATAGCATGTTGCTGAAATGGAGCAACAGCATTTAAAATTTTTTTAAAAAAAAGCAAAATTGACATGAATCCAGTTAAGATGGGTGTCTCTAAACGCAGTGTGAACTGAACCAAGTCCTGCTTTGTTCTTATACTATGTTTCATCATCGTCACACCCTCTTTGCCCGTTTGGCAGCCGCAGCAGCACGCCTCTGGTTCATGGCCTTGGTGGTGACACGGAGCTTCCGCATGCGTAGCTGTCGTAGCCGGAGCTGCAGGTCTTTGGGGAGTTTCCCCCCCTTCGCCAAAATCTCTTTTAGCCTCTGTTTGGACATCTTGGTGAGGCGGAAGTCGCAGATTGTGGGATAGTGGTCGTACATGACATAGCAGTTACGGGAGGAGGGGTAGTAGCCCTCTGCGCCGGCTGTCACCCGGTACTCACCGGGATTCAGCAGCCGCCAGTAGTCGCCATCAGCAGCTGAAAAAGGAAAGAAAGCCTGACATTGAGCTGTGACCATGAGCATCCACTGAAGTAACTAGGATATAATGAAAACAAACAATTTAAAAAAAATACTGTTAAATAAAATGCCAAGGCGGAAGTTCATCCCCAAATCCTTGACCTTTGTACTGTTAAAGCACTTTATTCAGCTTCAATTTAAAGTGGATAATCCGTAAGATGTGTATATATAAGTGTGTCAGGAATTAATCAAATTGATTGAATCAAATTTGCTTGTAAGACAATTTTTTGTAATAGTTCCATTTACAAAGTGTTTTTTTGGTTGACAATTGAGAAAGAGGAGTAAAATGTAAAATACCTGCAACTTCATATATTAGCTCCATATGTACAGAAGGTTTTCTTTAGTTTTCTAATCACAAGACCTTGTTTTCATTTCATATCTCATATGAGATGTAAGACGGTACCTGATCGAATATGATGATCAATGTCATCAACTTTAATGATGGCATCTGCTATACCCGCCTCTGTATCTTTGTCCCGAACCACACCCTTAATTCCACGGTGGACCTAAAAAAAAATAAAAATAAAGAGCTGTTACCATTTAATTGTGCTGTCAATGCACTGAAAAAAGCAACATATATGAGATGCTTTTAAAACCAGATGAGGCATCTCTGTTTGCCAGAAGGGGATGTTCAGTATAATAAGAAGAGGGATATTAAGATATAGTAGAAAACAATAAAAAAAAGGGGGGGGGGGGGGGGGGCATTAAGGAAGAAGAGATGATTAAAACAATCTACATCTTAGCAGAAGTCAACCAAAGCAGCCAGACCTGCTCCATGTAAACCAGAAGAGACTCTCTGTTGTTCTCCCACTCGATGGGAAGCTCACTGGCATGAGGAAATTTATCACATGACAGCTCCACCGTCACCTCGAAACAGTTGGTGTGCAGGTAACTGAAATCATTCATACCTGCAATAAAAGAAACAAAACAGAAATTTATATTTTCATATTTAGCTGTCTTCTCTGATGGCGTCGGCTAGGGTTAGGCTTGATTTCCTGCTAAGGTGTTTATCTCATTTTGGACTTAAAGCTGTAATCTGTCACTTCCTCCACATTCAACATCATCAAGTGCCATTCTGTAAAGTTGTTTTATTTCATTGCTGTTTCACTGTGATGAAATACCAGCAGTTGACTATATGGTAAGATCCTTCAGTCCAAAGGCCAAAAATTGCAATTTTTGTTCTACTTCCATTTAGCTCATTCTCAAAGTCTCCTATTAGCTTCAAATTTGGATGCATTGCACATTTTCTTTTTCAGAGTAACAAGGATGTAAAGAGTTGCATTCGAATGGTGTGATGGATTATACATGACTACTTTAGGTTCATCTATTATATTAAATCCATTTACAAACGTATATAAAATTCTGAGGGTGTCAAATATGACAGTTCAATACAGAACAGCAATCTAACAAGTCTGTGGGGGTTTTGGTGAAACTGGCAGAAACTCAACGATTTATAATAACATCTTTAACTGATAACAGGCAGAAAAACATCAACTTTTGCTCCAGTCAATCCACATCACTAACCTTTATGTCTTCATAGAGAACAACACGTAGACTGAATTATTCACATCATAACCAATAAATAACCTACACAAGTATTTAGTGAAATCCTTACAGCCTCCTATGGGTCACCAACCAAAACAACCAAACCTTGGAGAACACAAGTTGCTTGGATTGCCAGAACAACATACACGAGGTGTGGATAAGACCAAGCGTGACACTTCACTTTACTCGTAGGGAGCGAGAGTATTGATGTGCTGATTGACAGTTGGATAAACCAATTGGTTCACGAGCAAGTCACACTAAAGCAATGGGACTGAGGGTTAATAAATAGGTTAAATTAGAGGGCAGTGAGATTGTCACATGCAGGACAGACCCAACTCTCACCAGAATATGGAAAGCAACTATACACATGAGTATAATAATTGTATATCAGATTAAAAACCTTTTGAATTACAGCTTTAAATCATAATGGATCAAATTAAGTTTACTTTGAAAAGCACACATTCGTACTTCCTGGGACGTTGTGCCAGTCGGCTCCATTGATGATGTTGTTGTATCTTAGAAAGTCCTTGTTGTGGCAAGGCCTCCGGTCTGGGTTGGACATCACCTGATTATATAAGATACAGGAACATGTTAAGCACATAGTGGTGCCACTGCCATCCAATCCCTCATTTAGTCACTTTCCTGAAGAGGATGATTTAAAAATGAGAGCAGGAAGTGACAGGAGGAAGAGGATTAACCTGATTGGTGCTGGCGTACGCTGTAGCCAACCAGCGGAAGAAGCTTTCATCAGAAGTGGGTGTGTGCTCGCGAGGTGCCCAGTCGCGGGTCATGTCATACGGGTAGGTGACCACCAGCTCTCCACCATGGAGGTTAGCACTAAGAACAAATGGGATGTTCTGCATCCAGTTGATGACAGCGCGGGTCTCTGACGCCACCTAAAGTTGGAGTTTGAGGTATAGTGAAATATGTACAGCCAGAAGATAGTCGGGATTCTGTTAATACACATTTTTTACTTTTTAGATATTTGTTTTCATCACACCAGATCAGTAGAGAGCAGATGGCACACTCCTTTTAAACGTAGCCTCTGTTCTAGTAGCTTCAGTCAGACAACGCATTTGAGTATAACGAGTTTCTTTTATTGTTCATTAAACATGTTCCTGTGGATTTCTGTCCATGAGTATCTCCAACTGTGTTTTAGAGTTACATTTGAGCACCATCATCATGTTAACATGCTAAAATTATTGTTTTTAATCGCAGAATGCACACCCATGCTACCCACACACACAAGTGATTTAACTTATTCGCCTGATTGGACCTCTTCTCAGGGCTGCATGGGTGTGTACGTGTACACACTGTGCTTGATTGGCATATCCTCAGGCTCCTGTTACACATGTTAAGGTGAGTTCAATGACGTTACATCATTTCAACACATCTCTACCAAAAGAAAAAAAAAATCCTAAACATAAACAAATAAGAAAGAAAGAAAAGAAAGACACAAATAATTTTACTGAGGGTCTCAACAGCAGTACTAATAAGACTGGTTTCCTCACAAACCCTGTTGCTACCAGCAACAGAAAAAAAGGGGGAAAAAAGAGAGACACTGAAGGGCCAAAACCATACCGCCCTAAAAATGTTCCTGTCAACCTAAATATCAAATATCTAAACACTTCTAAGACCAGAAATAAGATAAAGAGATAAGTAGGGAGGATTTTATTTTTTTTTGAGAGAAAACATTGCAAGAAGAGGATGGTGTGTGTGACGTGTGTACATAAAACTTACAAAGGCTTCCTCCGAGGTGTACTGCTCAGGGATGGGGAAGTAGTGGTTGATGAGTTTGGACCGGTCTGTCTCCAGCTCGATGGCGGTCCACATCACTGAGTTGAGGTCAGCAAAGTTGTGGTTCATGTCGATACCTTCATAGCTGTAACGACCCAGAGACCAACCTGCTAATTCTGAGCCCTGCGGATTAAAGAAAGGGAGCCTTTGCTGTTATATTATCAAGTCTGGAGCCATCGGGGACATTACAACACACTCTAAATGCATCCCCAGGCACCTTTTTAAAGGCCATCTCATATCCATCAGGGTTCATGGAGGGCAGGAGGTGGATGCGAGTCTCTTTGACCAGGTGGACGACGCGCTGGTCACCTCGTTTGTACTCTTTGCACATGTACTGCATTAGATTGAGCAGAAGCTCTCGGCCCAGCACCTCGTTCCCATGCATCCCTGCAACGTACCGGAACTCTGGTTCTCCTACAGAGGGCGCCAAAACACAGACACAGGAACAGAGTTAAGAGCACTGCTGTTTTATACATTTTCCACAGTCAGAGTGAGGTAATACAGATAGAACAAGCAACATCACATATTTACTGGAAATCCCATATTTGCAGATCACCATATCTGCAGCATCATATTGAATGAAGAGCTTGTAAAACTGCAACGCAATCTCTGCTTTCAAAATTCCTCCTGGATCCGTTTCCTCTGTGGTCTGCATACATTGGACTGACAGGCAGCTCTGAAATCTCACACATCCTCTTCACATGTGTTTATGAGGAGGCGTTTCATCTCCCTCTAAGAAGAGTTTCACACATGGTGGTTCTGAGACATGGCTGGTCTGGGATTGTCCAGATTTTGTTGCATATAACAATCAGGACGTGTGCATAAAATGATACATCTTTAATTAATGAGATGGGTACATATAGTCTGTATGTAGGTCTACCATAGAGAGAGCAAGTCCTAACAAATATCTATCTATCTATCTACTTTTTTGCACAGATTACATTTGAAAACTAAATACAAATTTGACGGACCGAATGGACGAGCATGAACTGTCTTCTTCTGCTTCTTCGTGCTGCCTTCTCTGCCACGTGTTTTGGCGGGAAAACCTCTCCACTCTGCTGCCATGTGGACAGAGCTGAGGAGGCCAAAGGAAACATTTGCACACCTCGGAGCTACAACTCTGGTCTGTATCAGTTGATGTTTCACACAGTGCTGGACTGTGTGTATTTTTGGAGGGTTGGGACACAGTGGCAGCCACTGTGGGAGTCCCCCTCTAACCCTCTCACCCCTCAGATTACCATGTGATTGCAAAGCATCTGTCCTTCCTTAAATTCAATGATTCCTCTCATTGGAGCTGAAGCAGTGGAGACTAGTTTTTGTTAAAGAAGCTTTTCTTTGAGGATGAACTGCTCAGAAATTATTTCATCGAGCTTCTCTAACTAACCGGTAACTTATGAAACAACCAAATCGGATATGCAATATTTTTTGCTTTTGGTTGATGAAAATGAGGAAACTTGCAGTTGGATCTTCTACATTTTAGAGATAAACCACAATGAACCTTGAATTGAGATTTTTACTTTTCAGGAGGTTTGGTACATTTTGAAAGTTTACTGTTCACATCTGTCTCCAGTGTATCTCACCCAGTTCATGTTTTCCAGGGTTGTCAGAGATCTCCATGACGTACAGCTTTAGACCTGTGTAACTCTTCCCAATGCTGTAGATGCGGGTGATGTCAGGACACGCCTCGTTTACTGATTTCATCAACTGGGGAACCAAAAAAACAACAAAAATTAGTTTAGACTACCAGAAACAGTTTTCTAAGAAAGGAGTTTGTGAGCTGTACATTTTTTTTTTATCACAGATGATTAAATTATTTGATTTAATTCATTTAAATGCATCAAAAATCCAGATTATTATTATTAATTATTTAAACTTTACCACATTTTGTCTTTTGACAGTATGAACATGTTTCAGACTCAAAACAAGGTTTGAATTTGAATTGAAAGTGGGAGTCCCTTCCACTTTCTGAACTGTTTCTTCTCTACACATTCGTGACAGATTTCTTCTTCATTCTGATATGTATTCTCTCATTTGTTATGTTTGTGGTCATTAGTGATGAAGATAGTCTGTGGGAAAGTACACTGCAGAAGAACATGGAAGCGTGGGATTGAATACCAGCAGTGGGTCTAAAATACAGTTTTTTACACATGAAAATTAACTATAAAAGCCACAAAACAACCTTTCAACATAAACCTGAAAGCATGCACAATAACATGCTCGGAAGTGTCCTAAACACTCTTGATACTTTCGTGTGTCACATGTCCCCCCACAAATTTGCATTTATGTCAGACCTATCTACAGTAAGTTGTGTTAGAGTGCTGAATTTTATTTCACATGTGGAATGTGGATCTGAGTTTCTGTCTATGGGTTGTTTTCTGACCATCAGATGCAGGACAGTGTCTCCAAACCGACCGCTGGTAGGGCAGCACGGTGAGGACGCCGCCATGAAGGAGTGAAACCTTCCATAATATTTATTTTTTGGTTAGTGTGAGACCAGACCACACACGTTGTGGGCGCTCCCTATACTCACTACAAAAACCAGGTAGGTCAACATGGGACTGAATTTTATTTATAAAAAATATTTCTTGAGCTGGGATTGACTCCAGCCCCCCCCGCGACCCTGTATGCAGGATAAGCGGTTGATGATGGATGGTTGGAAATATTTCTTAAAGGCAAAGCTTTTTTGTACAGGCCAAAACAAGTCAAATCTCAGTAGCAGATGATAGAACATCCTGTGTCTTACCTTTCTCATCTCCTTGTAGTTGTGGTGTCTGAAGTCCAGTTTGTCTTTAGACTTTGGGGGTTCTGTCTGCCACGCGTAGATATTATTTGGATCTATTAAATGTGAAAGCTTGGTGTTGAAGCAACCAAACATGATGACAATTACATCTGCACAAAAACACTGTTTCCAGCAGTTGGCTTCCTGTACCTGGGAGTGTGCAGCCCAACACCTCGGCTCTCAGGCAGATGTTTCCCTGTGTCCCGTTCTGGTACCAGGTCTGTGGGTTGATCCGGATGTAACGGGCCACTGTGGAAGTGTTGAAAAGGGCGAGGACAGGTGTCTCTGTATCCTGGTTTCCTTCAAATACCTGCAGCACAAGGAGATGTGGGGAAATACAAGGAATCTTGAGAGAATCTTGGGACAAGAGGATTAAGATGCAAAACATGAAATCACAATCTTTAAATCCAGCCAGGGGCCTTCATCATGATGTCATACCTCTTTCTGCTTGCCTAATTTTTCCTGTCCATCTCCACTGTGGCTCTTGAGAAGACACATTTAGCTGTGAGGCTAAACACTGTGCTCAATAATTACTTGCATATTATTGCAAATCATGATTTGTTTGCTTCCATTTGGGCATGCTTGTCACCTTCAAACCTCTTTAGCTCTGATAGTTTTTGAAGTATTTTTTCTGAGATGTACTTTGTTTGTACTTCTTTTCTCCTCTCTTCTGAACCTTTGCATTGTGCTCAACAAAATACAAGAAGACCTATAAACTGACTTGTGAAAATGTGGTTTTTTTTTTTACTCCTTTGTTTCCAGAGAACATTTAATCCAGTCTGATGCCCCATGGAAAAAATATTTGCATGACTGACTCTTCATGGTCAGCTGTGGCTGTGGCACACATGCCTAAAAGACCACTCAAATAAACAAACCTAACCAAGGCTTCAGCGTTTCCAAACCTGTTTTGGCATCCTGAATAAACGGAGGGCAGAGCAATTTCATTAATTTAACCAATCATACAGCCCTGTCGCCAAGGCTTTGGAGATAACAAAACAACATGATGCATTATTACCATTTAAAATCTCTGAACAAAAAGGATGTCAAATATTCATTCATTGCTACATTGTTTATATGCTGTAAAAGAATGTGTATAAACTACAATATTTTTTCTTCTTTTAAAACATTTCCTTCATTCAAAGTCAACATCTGTTACAGGCCCTTGTTGGAATGGTAGTAACAGTTTGTGGGTAAATTACACTGTAAGGACTTTCCCTTTGTTATTTTCTTCCATAAACAGACATTAAGCATCTGCCGTAGGACTTTCAACACAGATTGTAGTATAGTATAGTATAGTATAGTATAGTATAGTATTTACATAGAACTGTAGTACAGGAATGTTCAAATTCAACCATTTAACAATTAAAAGATTAAAATAACTATTGGTAATGTTTTATTTTATGAATCCAGTAGTTTCCTACTAATTTTGTGGTATCTTCTGGTATGTTCTGAGATAAGAAATAGAGAGTGTTCACTTGGTGTGGTTAGTCAGTACTCACTCATCATATTTTTATGTTTTAACTTGGAAATAAAAAAGTAATGAGAAGGATTTATTTATTTAGGAAGAGTTAATGAGTGTAAGCTGCTATTTATATCCAGAGGAGTTGCTCTGGTTGCTTTTTTGTCTGACCAACAGTCAAAATCCCAAATATATTAAATGTACAATGGAATTAAACTGAAAACCTCACATTTGAGAATCTGGAGCCAAAACTGTGTTGCATTTTTACTTGTCTCAGATTATTAATACATTGTTTAACATTTTCTGTTGATCAACTAATGAACTGTTTAATGTTTTACTGTTTACCCACATGTCCCCTTGTCTCACAGCAGCTTTATCAGCAAGAACAGGTTGGTATTAAAGTGGTGACTTAAGGATGCAGGGCAAAGCCAGACACTCCTCAAAACTCAGCATATTCCCTTCTCCACTGGAAAAGCCAGTTATTTTCAGAGTAATTCTTCTTCACCTTCATGCATCCTCATTGTTTGTGCTTTCCTCATGACATTTACAAAAAAGTATGTTCATATAAGTATAAATAATCAACCTATCTGTTATGTGTTTACAGAATCTTTTTTTTTTCCTGTTGAACCACCACAACTGTCAGTTTTAGAAAGAACCACATCATTTTATATAAATTATATATAAACACAGGAAAAAGCAAATATATATGGGAAAACACAGATGACATTGAATTAATTTCTTTCTATCTTTATTTGCAATGTGGTGCTTTTCCACAGATGAGTTAGGGCCAGCTGGGCTATATGGGGGTGTAGCTGGCAAGTAATTTTAACAATTACTCCGGTGGGAGGATGGGGGGATGATGAAGGTTGGGATGAGGGTATAGGGCTGTGTGAGTGGAGTTTGGGGTTTGGGGGTTAGGGTGAAGGGGGAAGTCTTTGGTAATGATTGTTAAAATTACTTGTCTGTCGTCCTCTGTAGGCCTTCTTTGGTGAGTGACCTCCGTCTCCTCCTGATGTTGTTTGGAAGTTCCTGGAAGAAATGGATGATGACGTTCTTTGTTTTTGGCTCAAGTACTTTATCTGGAGAACATCCCTCATCCTCGGTGTCCTTGCCCTTGGTGTCCACAGACTGTTGACCTCCCACTTCCTGCTGGAGCCTGGAGGCAGCAGGCATTTTGCTGACGCTTCCCATCACCTGGTCGGCCATCAGTTGACTGTAGACACTGATGACAACCTCATACTTCTTGACTGACTCTGCCCATTTAGCAGCAGATGAGGCGCCGCTTTGGACTTGGATCATGTGACCCATTCCCCAGGATGGCGGAGGGAAGATGAGCGATGACAGCAGACGTTTCACAGCCTCCTCAACAAATAAGTACACCTGTTCAGAGGGCTTAATGAAATCAATACGACATCTTGTCGGCCGGCAGAGTTCTGAATCAGACCAAGCCCTCCTGCTGCCATATAGCGACTCAGTCAGGCTCAACTGCTGTTGGTGAAACATGCTAGTGAGCTTGTCAGCCAGCATCTTAGAGAAGGTGGACAGCTTGTCCTGGCTGATCAGCTCTTCCAGTCCGGTCAGTGCTGCATCACCGCTTTGGACCCTGCTACCATCTTGTTTTAATGACTGCTCTGTGTCATCCAGGAAAGACCTCACCACACCTGTCATGCTCTTGACGCTGGATTCACATGGACTAGTCGCTGTGCTGTGGATGCTCTTCATAACACCGCTCTCCTGGATGTCCTCAGCTCTCTTGTCACTCTTGCTGGATAGAATGCTAGCCCCCCTTTCAATTTCCTTTTCACCCTCCTTTAGTTTTTCCAATGCCTCTCTGTAGAAGTTTAAAAAATTCCGCAGTTTCTCCTGCAAGTTGAGTTTTAGCATCAGTGCTGTGGAGGCTACTTGGTCCTCAAACACTGTGGTGTTTTCACTCCGTTGCCATGGGAAGGTAAATTTCCTTGGCTGTGGCTGGCACAGTTGTTTTACACTGTCGACTACAGTATCAAGCATCTCTGAGGCCACAGGGTCCAGGGAGGCCTTGTAGGGTATAGGATGAGTGGTCAGTAACCTGAAGCTCTGCAAGGAAAACTTGAGCAGGGACCTCATGAGGAATTCCCTCAGTTCATTCTGGCTGGTACGACGAAACCTCCTGCATGAAAGGTCTTTGACGACCTCCTGAGAGGACAGAGTCATCGGATAAGTTATCGCTCCGCCCTGAAGAGGTAATCCATCTCTGACTTCAGGGCTTGCCTCCTGTGGTGTTTCATCCTTTTGGCTCTTTCCAAAGGCTGCTCTTACTTTGCTGATGCAGCTCGGAAGTTTCTCGTGCAGGTACCAGCAGCAGCAACAGTAACCCATTCCAAATTCATCCAAACTATTCAGGTCAAACTTATCCAAACACCTGTCTTTTGTCTCTTCAATGGTCCTTTTTGAGTGCCTCATTTTGATGACCAGGTGTTGTAGGATTTTCCTAGCAGTGCTTTCTGTCTTCACGCCTGCTTCTGTCTTCTCTTGACAGGAGTCCAAGCTTTTAATAAGAGTCGTTATCACCTCCTCTGTTGCCGGCTCCAAAAACTGTTCGATGTCCTGCCATGAAGCCTCCTCAGTGAGGGCCCCGCCTGCAGATCTTAAGGATTGTTCCTGGGCCTGCTCTGCACTCACTTGAGCAGAGCTTTCAATAGGAGGGGTGTAGAGAGCAGGCACAGACAGACCCTGGTTCACCTGCTGCATTACTTCCGGTGAGCTCCTGGCAGATACCTGGGAGGCAGAGCTGCCCAATGATTCGTCGTCGTCATTGACTCCAATATACTTCTGGAGAGGATCTTCAGTGAAGGGTCTCAGCATCTCAGGGGAGGATCTGCAAACAAACAGTTATTGATTAGCTAAATCACACTTGGCACTTTCCTTAAAGTGTTTTTTTACAGAGCCAGTGTACCAATAACAGTAAACGTTTTACTTGCATATTTGAGTAAAAATAACAGCCTCAGATGATGTAAAAATATGCAAAAACAAATTATCTATTAGGGCTGCAATAAACAAGTTTTCATTATTGATTAATCTTTCGATTATTTGAGTAACTGTATACCAGGAACCTGTAAACACGCATGTAAAGTTCGTTTTGTTTTATCCTACTTGGTTTTCTTTCTAAGGCTTCAACAAAGATATGGAAGCAAAGTCCCACCTAGAACCGCCAAAGGACTAAGTTTGCCCCTGCAGTGGTATGTTAGTGAGAGGTGGATCTTCCTACCTGCCTCATTCAAAACAAAAATGTGCAACAACAAACTATATTTAGGGCTCCATACCTGCTGTCTTGGCTCTGAGTCTCTTCCGCACTTTGGCTACGCAACTTGCAGGATTTGCCGGTTGAAGCTTCTGAAAAGTCTTCAGCCTGCAGACGGACCACCAGGGCCGGGACCAGCAGCTGGAAGACCAGCTCGGACACCACTTTGATGATCCTCTTCGACACCTGGGCCAGGTGAGCCTGTGTCAGCTGGAGGAAAATGCACAGGAGAAGCTGTTTAATATCAACTGTTAGGGAACATTTAAGAGCAGCTTCTGTTAAAAAAAAATAGAAATCAGTTACTCACTTACTTTAATTAGATTCTGGTTCAATCTTGCTTTAAATTCACAAACACAACCTGTGCTTTTTAATCACTTTATTCTAAGTTGTGGGTCATGCTGATGAACGGATTCAATAAGATGAAGAACGTCTGCACTTTGGACATTTTGGTTTAAATTAGCTTCTGTTAAACGGTAACCAAATGCAGTTAAAGCTATGAACTACTTTGTAACTGCTTTATAACTTAACGTTACAGATTTTAACACAAAGCAGACTTTATGTAGGCCATAAACAATGAAACAAAAGGCTGTAACGTTCAGTCTATTTGTGCATCCTTACTGGTTCTCTCATCCTCTCCCGTATGCTCTCCCACTGTCGGTCCTCCAGGTTGTTAATAAAGCAGGAGAGGATGTCAGCGCAGAGATCTTCCTCTTCATCCTCCTCCTCCTCGCTTAGCACCGTCTCTGCCACAAACCGCAACGCCGCTGCCCGTCGCTCATAACGGGATTTTGGTAAAAGCACCGAGTCGGGGTCGGAGGTGCTCCGAGTCACAGCTGTTTTTATTTCACCGCTGTCCTCCATCATCTGCATCAACACTGTCCAGCCACGAAGTTCACGGGAGGAGACAAACGGTCGTGGTGGACGGGAGAAATCAACGAAATGTTGAATTTCACCTCAGGAGATTGCTGTTGTCACAATAAACGTTGTTGTTTTTTAAAGCATTAGGCCAACATGGCAGTTCTATAACCGCGTCTTTATTATTCAAACCATGACAACGAATGTCCCCCAACCTTAACAAAGTGGCCAAGTAATTTTAACCAAAACAACGATCTTTCTCATACTTTGTGCCTCAACCTAACCAAACCTGAACCATAGCTGTTGTCACATAATAAAATTCACAGCAACACCTGTCTGTGAGTATATGGACTAGTTGATTGGTTGGTTGATTTTTAATTTTTTTTTTTTTTTTTTAACACACACATGCTTACCGTTTTGTTTATTTATTTTATTTGGATTTTTTTTTTAACACAAACACACATACGCTTTAATTACTTGTTTAATGAAATGTATGGGGTTGATTGTTCTTATGTAGTTTGTATGATGCATTGGCAATATTGTTGTTATACAATCATGCCAATAAAGCTAATTTGAATTTAATTGAATTGATTGGTCATGGCTGCTTTTATGTATAGCCTAGTCTATATAAAATATTGATTCAATTAGGCCTACTGATTTACTGTCTGACCTGTCCTTACTGACACTGCTGCTGTAAGACAAAGGCACATGTGGGTAAACTGTTTAACACACAAAATTTCCCAGTGTGGTTGAAAAGGGCAGGTAAAGGGTTAATTGGATTTCAATTAAATTAATTTAATAGCCTAAGTATTTTTGTGGTTTGTTCATAGAGGCTATTAGGGATTGTTTGAAATGTGTTTTAATCTAATATGTAATTTAATCTAAAAAGAATTTCAATCTAACTATTTTCCATCTTACTTCCCATGTCTATCTAAAATGTCCATGAGCAAGTACAGACAAACTTAACACTTTCCAATTTCCCTTAAATTACAGTAGCCTATAAGCCTTCACCTTTCCAGGAAATGTCCTAAAATGATCAGTTACTGTCAAACCAGCATGTTAGAAAATGACCAGCATATGTGAAACATTGCTTTATTTTTGCAAACTTTTTGAAAAGACAATGTGAAAGGGAAAGTGTTACCGCCATTATGCCAAAAGCCTTGAAACACAGATGAGCGAGCCTGTGACCAGGACGTCACATGGTTTGAACACCTGACCAGCTTGGAAAGTGAGATGTGACGGGGGGGGGGAAAGGAACACAGATAGACAGGACTACAGTTTGTATGTTGAGAAAGGAAAACAATATATTCACTCACAGCCTCTTCAGTCCCGTTCATACACGGCTTCCAGACCAGAGAGTCGTTACTGAACTGCACCTTGTAGGTATACACCATGTTCCAGCTGTGTGTGAACCAGACACGTGTAGTTTTTCATTACATGTCATACCGCATGTGATACAAAATACTGTAAGTGCCATTAGTTAAAAGATTACACATTTATATACAGGTATGTTTAGATTTATAGGGTTAATCATAAAATATTACCTGACACTATTTAAGTGTCTTAAAACATACCAAAACATACAGTGCAGGAAAAAATAATTAATTTTGCGTTATTAGACAAAGATTTTAATTGTATTTAGGTGTAATTTGAAGGTGTTTACACTCATAGTAGTAGTTGAAGCCATTTCTTTGGGAGAGTATTTAAACATTAAAAATATATTTTCATTTTGCTCCAAAAACTAAATTTCCCAGTGCTCACACTGCCACTGTATAACCTTTAACCTTCAGTACTGACCTCCAGATGGAGCTGCGACCCTGCAGGATGACACCAGTGAAGCGAGTCAGTCGCAGAGCGTCGACCTCCAGCCACTGCTTCTTGTCTCTGTACTGAGCACACCAGGCTCCATCGTAGATATCCCCATCCTCTATCCCAGACTGCAACACACAGTAAACAGTGAGTCATATTGTACATGTCATACTCTGTAGTGTATAATGTGTAATGGATTTTGATTTTCTGTTAAGTCTGTGTTGTTACCTGGATGTTGAGCCGGCCACGGTGAGGCCCCAGGCCTCTGCGTTGGTAGGAAGATGCTCTCAGCTGAGTGTCTTTGACCTTCAGGGACTCCAGACCCAGTGGAGGACATTCTGACACAATTAACAAGGATTTATTTACCATTTGAATAGAAATGGTAATAAACATTTGAAAAGAGTAGCAAGGTAAGAAGAAGCCAGTGTTCCAGAGGTGTAGTTTAGTTTGTGCAGTGTTAAAAGACCTGCTAATATAGCATGAAATTCAGTTGAGTCATCAATACAATAAGTCAAGGTTACAAGATTGTATTCATAAGAACTTTGAGAGAGAAGCCAGCTACAAATCAGAAACTAAAAAAAAATCAAAGACGCACCCATTTCCTGTGAAATTTGTTAAATAAATTCAGGTTTTCTGCCTGTCTAGATATTTTAATGTTATAACACAAATGAATTATAAAACACCAAAGGATATTTCTCAAATGCATTCACTGACAAATGAAAGGTGACACATTAAAGAAAGAAGCTGAATAAATGAGTGTAGAAACAAAACAAAAGCATGAAGATTGACTGAATGCGTGAGGAGTATGAACTTTATGTAAATATATCACCAGCTCTCATTCGAGAGAGAGACATTAGAGACATGTGTTTGACAACCATGATCAAAAACATCAGATGATGGATTACTTTATGTTTTCACTTCTAATTGTTTTGTTTTTTTTTCAAATTCAGGTGTTGAGACTTTAGCTTCAGTAAAATATGTCTTCCATCATTGATGGAGTTGCAAATGAAGCTAAAGAAGCAAATTGAGAAGTAAAAAGGAGAAAAGGAAATAGAGAAAGCACAACTCTCTTGTGGACGGTTTCTTTAAACCTGTCCTGCGTCTTCTGCTGCTCAGCCTCAGACAGACTCTCATTGTCTGGAGGGTTCAGCTCAGTTCAAACTGCCTCTTCCTGCCAGGAAGCTTTACTGGCTGCTAAAAAGTCTTAGGCCAAGGTATAGTAGCAGTTTAAATGAATGTTAAATGAAGGTGGCATTTCCTTTAAAGACCATTTCCTCCTTTTGCCTTGTAGTCCTGCTGGACCTCAGCTTGTGACTCAAAATGTTGCTGAGCTGTAAAAAGGAATGTCTCTTTGTTACTGTTGACCGGTGGATTCCTGCCAAACTTCTGAAACTACTAAAGCTGAGCCAGAGAGACTTGGCAAACTGACAATGCTGCCCAGAAGAGAAAGACATTCAATTTATTGGAAATTAAAGTAGTCCACCACCTAGCTGATTATCTGGGGAAATAAATTTCACTGGGAGAGAATAGAAATCGGTGTATGTTGGTTTGGGGGACAAGTACAGTCTCTTTAATTGTTCTCTGCCTGGTAAAAACTTGTGTTTTTATCTACATGGTTTTAAGGAACAAAGAACCAGAGACTCATACTCAAACCAACAATATATTTAAGTAACCTGGTCTCTCCTGTCTATCTCAGTTTTCGCATCCGCTCACCAAAACCCTATTTTGTTTCCTGAAGTCTTCTTTCTTAAAAGGAATCACATGGAGAAGATGGAGCTCGGCGAGAAACGATCCCCCCAAACCTGAGTCTTATCTCTCTAGGTTCCTCAACATGACCTTCCAGCTTTATGATCCCTATTCATAACTCAAGGAATACTGTCTTTTTCCTGATGCTTCAGGAGTTAGGGGCCATAACACACACAAGTGCTTTCTAAATGGCCACATGTTGCCGGTAAAAACAAAGCACTTGTTCCATGCCAAACTTTCCACTATTTATATGTAAATCTGGTTTCAAACAAATGGGACTCGAAACAATCTCCTTGGATTAGGGAGTGAATGTCAGCGTCTCTTTCTGAACTTGATTCTAAACGCTCAAGTTGTTTAGAACCTTTAGGATGAACACTAAAAACCAAACAATTGAAGTTCAGGTCATGGCAAACTGACAGGACACTTATCTTCTTTTGGAAACTTTTATAGTGGTTATAGAACTTCTTTCATGACAAAACCAAGAAACTGTCTTTTGTGATTTGATATTCTTAAATAGACAGGACTGCAAAAAAATCCCCTGAGTCAAACGCAACAACATTGTGATTCCATAGTTGTCTGGAGTAACAGAGAAACTCAGGAGGATTTTCAACAAACACAACATCCCTGTGTTTTTTAAACCCAAGAACACACTAAGACAGATGCTGGTCCACCCCAAAGACCGCACACCCAAACACAAGAAAAGCAATCTAGTGTATGCGGTCCAATGCAGTGAGGAATGCACAGACCTGTATATTGGGGAGACTAAACAACCACGACACAAACGCATGGCTCAACACAGAAGGGCCAACTCCTCAGGTCAAGACTCTGCAGTCTACTTACATCTGAAGGACAGAGGACACTCGTTTGAGGACCACCAGGTGCACATTTTAGACAGAGAAGATGGATGGTTTGAAAGAGGTGTCAAGGAAGCCATCTACACCAGGGTCGAGAAGCCGTCGCTGAACAGAGGAGGGGGTCTACGCCACCATCCCACGTACAATGCTGTCCTTTCATCACATCCCAGGAAACTCAACAAGCATTACCTTGGCCTCAGGGGAAGATACCAACGATGGTCGTTCAGACTTGGCCACGGGTGGTTCTAACGACCGTAACGACTGTCGTTACCACAGCCAGGAACACTAAGGAACCAGCGGTATTGATGATCCTGGCAAACGACCCCAGAGAGGTTAAATGGCTGAGTTTCCTTACAAGTCATTTCAGAACTGAAGCTGTCTGTTGGATGAGTAAGTATCTTCAACCAAGTCCAGTTGCCCGTGACTTTAACCTTCTTTGGATAACTATGACCTGGATGACTGAGAACCTTCACAGAGACATCACTGAGTCATGTTGTAACTTTCTACTTTTACACTGGTACTGAGTTTCCCAACATGGTAATTTTTCTGGCATTTAACTCACAGTTAATCTAACTCCAGCACTGGCTGACAGGCCTGAACAGATTTTAGCTTCAACTCTGATTTGACATGACAAGTTGCTTCCTAAGCATTTATTTCTTGCCCGGCCTCCACAAGCCAATCTCTACTTTGACTTTTCTCTCTACTCTACATACATACATTATATATAGACATGCTCTATATACACACGCTTCCTCAGTTGGCTCAGTTCCTGGTCCAATACACACACACAAAGTTGCATGCATCTACTTTGAATTTGATTTGTAAAACATGAGATATGTACACAAACATATAAAAGGGCAAATACACAAAGCAGCTGGTAGACCACTTGCAGCTCTCGGAAGGCTAAAACAGAGACTTAAAGAAAATTCAAACTACACTATTACACCAAATCTCAACAGCATCATATATGTGTGTGTGCTTTTGATTGTATGACAATAATTGTAGGGACAAAACTCAGGACTTGGATTAAGGTTTAGTGTCATAATGAATGTCCTTACAATGGTATTAGATCAAAGGTGTGTTTGAAAATTCAAATTAGAGTACATGAGATATTTATAATGTCTGCAGAGGCCAGAAAATAAATAAGATATGGGACAAATCTATATTTTAGAGCTAATATTTAAAGCGCATATCCAGTGTTGAGTATGGACGTTCTTGACCAGGGGAACACTGTATGTATGGCAAAATAATCTCAACCCACAGGTCTACTTACTAGCTCTTTCGGAACGTGCTTTACATTGCACACTTAGGTCAAGTGATGACACCAGTTTTGTTCACCAATGAAGACAGCATCATGTGGTTGAAAGAGATTGTTTTGTCACATATTCGGTGTGCTGCATGGAACACTTTGCAGACGGTAATGTTCAGAAAGAAACCAATATCACTGGCAACTGAAAGGAGTACATCTTCATAAAATAAGCATAGTAAAAATATACTATTATTTATATTATTATTTTATCATTTAAATTAAAATTTCTTTGAACTCATATCAGAAAAATATTACTATTCTCCCAGTCTTCTTTGTGGTGAGTCTGTTCTTTCCTTCATCACAGTAGTGAAGCTTATACTGACCAGCAATAACATTATGACCACCTGCCTAATTCTGTGTAGGTCCCTCTTTTGCCACCAAAACAGCCCTGACCTCTGAAGTTGTGCTGTGGTATCTGGCACCCATACGTCAACAGCAGATCCTTTAAGTCTGTAAGCTGCAAGGTGGGGCTTCCACGGATCAGACTTGTTTGTCCAGCACATCCCACTGATGCTCAATTGGATTGAGATCTGGGGAATTTGGAGGCCAAGTCAACCACTTCAACTTGTTTTTGCATTCCTCAAACCATTCCTTAACCATTTTTGCTTTGTGGCAGGGCGCCTTACCCATTCACTCTGACACCTTTCTATCAGAACCAGCATCAACTTTTTCAGCAATTTGATCTACAGTAGCTCATCTCTTGGATCGGACCACACAGGCCAGCCTTCGCTTCCCATGTGCATCAATGAGCCTTGCACAACCCTGACCCTGTCGCCGGTTCACCACTTTTCCTTCCTTGGATCACCTTTGAAAGGTACTGACCATTTTTCCTGCTTCCTGCCTAATATATTCCACCCACTGACAGGTTCCATGCTAACGGAATAATCAGTGTTATTCACTTCACCTGGTCATAATGTTATGGCTGATCAGTGTATGTTTTGAAGCAGCAGAGGAAATAAAATTCTTTATAGTATTTACATTTAGATATACAGTATGCGTTGCATCAGCATGGAACCACGTGAATCAGATCTGGGTCTAAATTTAGTGCTAAATTAGCAAATAGTTTTATGGTTTGTTTGATGCTTTCCTGGGTGGGTTTACCTTTACTGACAATTCAGTGAGCTTCATTTTCCTGTTAAACCTTTATAAGTTGGTGTAGAAAGTATTAATGAGTCAAAACATTACCAGAGACCACTTGAACTGTCTTAACACAGTAAACCCAACATGTTTAAAGCTAATGAAAGCACTTAAAACTATTTGCCACCAATATCTGACCCTTGTCTGATTGACATACTGTATCCATCAGGGCTAATCCCCATACATACGTAGGACTGTCTCCGTGGCCCCTGACTGGTTCACACTTTGTTTGGCCTGAGGTTTGGCTTTCTTAACAACCTTTGGCTTCTTGGTGAAGAGTTTGGGTTTCTTCAGGATCTTTTTGGACTTCTTTGCTACCGGAACACTCCTGGGGGACCTCCTTTCTACGAAAATGCAAACCAATTTATGCACAGTAGGAAACATGCATACCTTGTAGAACATGACTAAAGATCATATGAATTAGTCATACATGTAGAGTAAACCAGGAAGAACCATTTTGTATAAAACTTTAAAAGGACAAAAATGGGGGCATTTTGGGAAATAAGCTCATTCACTTTTCTTGCTGAGGGTTAGATGAGAAGATTGATAGCACTCTCATGTGTTTGTCTGTTAAATTTGAAACACAAAGATTGTAAGCAGTGGGAAATAGGCTCTTCCCTACTATTATAACCTATAATGTTGACTGAGGAAGGAAGTCACTGCCCCTGCCTAGAAACAGTCTGGCACATAAACCCCCAGAAAAAACACAACTTGTCATTTTTTCAAATCAGTTTTGTTAGGGATTAAACAAACAACATGTTAATCAGTGAGCTTTAGATGTGCTGCTCAGGGGATTTTTAAACTTTGGACAAAGCCAGGCTAGCTGTTTCCCCCTGTTTCCAGTCTTTAAGCTAAGCTAAGCTAACCGGCTGCTGGCTGTAGCTTCATATTTAATGGAAATACACAAGAGAGGCATCATTCTTCTTATTTAACTCTCGGCAAGAAATGGAATAAGGGTGTTTTGAACTACTCCTTTAACATTGGTTTGAAAGTTATAGTTTCACTGACCACCAACAGAGTATACAGTGGAAAGCTACAGCAAGCAGTGCAAACCAGCTTTCAAACCTGATACTGGATTAATGGAAATGAGTTTTTGGCTATAGATGTTTACATCTACATTAAAGCCATTGGGCTGCAGCCGCAGCTTCATTGAGTTTACAGTTGAATTAATGCCTGCCGCATTTGGGTTGGGAACTGGAGGGTGTCCATTTCAAGTCCAGCATGGACCAGTGAGTAGCTGGAGTGGTGCCAGTTCAACCCCTGCCAACTGCCAAGGTGACCTTGAGCAAGGCACCAAACTCTTAACTGGCCAGGGCTCCCTTACTACATGGCAGCCCCCTCGCTCTGACATTTCTCCATACATGTGTATAGGTCCTGTGTGTACATGTGTGTATTTCTGGCCTGTGTGTGTGAAACCCCTGGATGCATTAATAAAGTATGTCTTCTTCTTCTTCTGCATGAACAACATCACAGCATTGGTTTTGAGGAGTGTGAGGGGTCTTGTTCCTTTCTTTTTTTTTTGCTCTGAAACATCACACAGTCCATCTGGTTTTCATCAGTAGAAATGTCTCACGGCACACAGGATAGAATGTGAAACATATCCTCCCCCAACCCTCGGACAATGACTCTCTGACCACAGATATGCTAAAAACAGAACGGAGCTCTCTGTACACCCTGAAAAAATATTGGCTTTGGGGAACCCTAAAAGACACTTTGACCTGCTGTTATTTAGTCATGAGGCGCCATCATTAACCGCACCTGAGCCGTTGACATGTTGGGGTTTGATCTGAGGGAGCTGAGGAACATTTCTTAATCTCAGATCCCCACCAGCTCAGACTTTGTAGATTTGTTGGCACATTTTCTAAAGATGTATCATCAAAACACATTTACTCCTTAGATCAAAGCTCTGGTTACTTTGTTTTCAGGGGAAGTTCTGATTGTTTGTATTAAAACATGTACAACGTTGTAAACTTTACCAGCATGGCTGTCTCTGGGAAAAGCTTTGGAAAAATAGTGAACAATTAGTCAGGTTGTTAAAAAGAAGATTTCTAAATCTAGTAGAGAGCCCTCTCACAAATTCCATTAGGCTACAATATGATCATCACATTAAAAAACTATAAAGGCCTTAAAATAATATTGTAAGAATGTTTAAGAGATTAATTTGATCTTGAATCTTCTCATTATTGAATACCACAAAACACTGAAAAGTTCCACAGAAATATTGTGTTTCCAGTGGGGATAAAAAAAACAGCATTAACATTCCAACATATAAATAATGTTAAATAATAATGTCTACTCACCTAATTCCAAAGGACCTTCTTCTTCTTCAGTGACTGCTCTCTCCACTGCTTTACCAGTGTCTTCAGTCAGATGTTCAGTAGTTGTGGTGGTTTTGGGAAGTTTAGTTGTTGCCTCACTATAACTTGTTTTGAATCTTGTGGTGGGAACCTCAGTGGCATTGGTTTTCCCTGCAGGAAAAAGGCTCTTAGTTACAGTAAAAGCTGCATCTGAATCCACAATGGATCTCACTGTGGTTGTGTCATGATCAGGTCTGGCTAAAATGAGTACAAATGATCCACATTGCAGAAAAAGCAGACAGAATTGCAGAACTCCCTCCATAGTAGCTCTTCCCTGCAGAAACCCCTCAAACACTAAGCACTCATTCGACCTCCCTGACCTGCCGTTCTAAGAGGTCTATGAAGTCACCCACAATGCAAAAACATCTTCCAGTCACTGATTTAAAAAATAAAAGTTGATGTACAGTATGTTGGGTGAAACAATAGTGAAGAAAAATAAATGTGTTTAAGTAAAAAAAAACATGGTTGATCAACAGAAAATTCATCTGCAGTTATTTAGATAATCAATTACAAAATAGCCAGCTTCTCAAATGTGAAGAATTGCTCATTTTCTCTCATATATGATACAAATATATGAAACAAACTGTGAATAGATTTAGATTTTAGATTAATGGTTGGATAGATCAACCTCCACCTTCAGCTCTGGGAGATTCCAAAGGGCAAATGTTTTACTTTATGATTTTTTAATACACAAAACTATTACCAGTAGGTATGTGATTGGTAGATCAATCAGTACAGAAAATGACAGTTGGTTGGAGCCCCTAAGAAAAACTGTTGTCAACCATAAAGTACGACAGAAAAGCCATGTAAGGCATGCCAGCTATCTAAGAGTCAATTTTTTGCTCAAAGATTCAAGCTTGTTGGGTATGGCGAGGTGGAGAGTTCACCAACCCCAGATAATTTAAATTAATATTTTTTCCTTATATGTAGGACATATAAGACAGATTAACACCTTCAGCTAATTATTCAAGATTGTAATTTTTGACATCTCCATTTCTTTCGGATTGTTGGTTGGTTCTAAATGGTGGTAGCAGAGATGCAAAGTCAGTAGCTAACGCTTGCGAATCCATGCTTTTATTTTGAAGGTGTAATCAAAACCCTGGCATTTGTCTTGCTCGCTGACTTGACACTCCTCTCTGCAGAGCTGCTGTACCAACAACCATCCAACCAGAGTTTGTTTAGGGATAAAATTCAGTCAACTTTCCCACTTTCCATTACACAGAGACAGCATGCATAGCTGCACATATAGTTAGTTAAGTCCCTGAAGTTCCCATACAATGTTTAGTAATGGCTGTAGTGACATCTGGTGTCCTTGTTTCTTTTTTGTATTCTAAAAATTCTGATTAATTTCAATTCTGTCGATATTCCATTTCTCCAACACCACAGGTTACCACAATTCAAAAGATGCTCACTTCACTGTTCTGGTTAAAAAGCTTTAATGGCACAGACGAGACATATTAATGGGAAATGTGTACTTGCAGCAAGGAAAGACTCACTCAATGCATGTACTCAGTCTGGAAAATTCCTGACAATAAATTTAATGTATGATTTGATTCTCTATGTTGAAATAACTTTTATTATAATTATTTCAGCAAACAAAATATGTATATATATAAAAAAGGAATTTGGGTGTGATGCCATTCAATTCTTGTTGGAACTTAAAAAGAAGGGGGAAAAACACAAACAAAACTATTTAACCAGGTCTTCTTGGAAAAACAAAATTGCTAATAAAAAATATATTTACAAAAAAGTGGAATTTTCAAAACAAGAACGGAGTCTCTCACTGCGAACATTTGACAACTCCCCTACTGTATCTGAAGTTTAAAGAAAGAGAAGTTACTGAATGTCTGTAAAGCTGAGGTGTTGAACAGCAGAACCTTATTTATTGTAACTGAAACAATATCATGGATGAATGAATGAAACAGATCTTTTTGAAATCTCGACAAACATGGAAGCACCTTTTACCCCCCAAATTCCTATCCACTACTCAAACAGCATGACACCAACTCCTACAGATTTATAAATAGCATATTTGTAAAGCAAACAATGTTGCTTTGTAAAATACACATAAAATCATTTATTTGTTGGACAAACTGACAACAGTTTCTCAGACTTACGGGTTAAGCTAACTGAGGTTCTACTGTGCAAACACCTAAACTGACATTAGTTGATAATATTCAGCTGTACAGCTTTAATGTAAAAAAAACAAACTTAAAGCTCCTGTACACATTTTCAAAAAACTTGCAGCTGGTGTTATTGAGATCATTAACATAACAAAACCACGACCCCCCCAGTGATGACACAAAGCAAATAAAATGGGCAGGGCAGTGTCCAGAGTGAGGAGAGCAGGTACTGTGTGAGAACATCCAATCTCAGTTTGGGAACAACACCTCAAGGCTTCCAGAGTTTCAGCAGACCATCCTCACTGTAGGTGCTGATGAGGTTCTGGTGGGGGTGGTGGGCGATGCCGATTACATCCTTCTCATGGACCTGAAGTGGGGAGGAGCAAGATGTGTAAGCAAAATTAAATTAAGTTACAATATTAACAAAAAAACTGGCATACCTTCATTGATCAATCAGAACTCAAGATTGTTCCAAGTCAATTTAATAAAAATGTAATTACTGCCGGGCATCAACACAAAAATAATCTAAGACCCTAACATTCTTCTTGTGAGGATTATTTTTACTTGCTCACCATTTGACCTAAGTAAAGCATTCGTTTGTGCATTTCTAGCTACACTAATTGCTCAGGAATTCAACCCATGGCAGCGTTAGTTCCTTGCTCTAGAGACAAATAAGCAAACCTTTGTATGCACTGTGTCAATTTAAAGTGTTTGCCAAGTGGTAATTTCCTTAAAATGGCTTCATTGAATGGTATTAACATGTGTACTAACATTTCAATGCACAGAGACTTTTTTCTGGTAAGTGGCCATTTGGTGCATTGTAAATACAGTATATTGTATTTTACAGCATCATAAAAGGTTTGATTTTTTTTTTGACTATACTTATTTATCAAGCCATTTCATAAGAAAAACAAACAAGCATCAACCTCACCTTCAATCAAACCTTTACAGTCAGAACTTTTTGTAGCACAGCAGAGGTGGGAATGAGCTGTGTTATTTTTGAACAGTTTGATCTCTTCTTCTGAGTGCAGTAACATACCGTAAGCGTTCTCTCCAGCTTGCCGGTGACGGTGCTGAAGCAGTAGAGTACAAAGTCCTCACCCACGCAGTAGATCCACTCACCGCGGGGCGACAGAGTGCAGCACACAAAGTCTCCACCTTCCCTCTTACCAGAGCTGAAACTCCTCACGATCTGCACAGCCAGAATCACAAGTGCATTCAGGCACACACAAAAGGGCAGGCGGGCGCCGTTTCATAAGCAAACACCTTTAAAAATGTACAGTAATCCATGTTTATTACTCAGTATTTAAGAAAAAACACTGAGCTCAAAATGACAATTTTGTGAACTCAGTGCCGGTGGAACGGAAAGGTATCTCATTATTTTCAAAAATATTGCAGGCAAGAAGCTGTTCTTGCCTGGTGTTCTTGTAATGTATTTAATATTCATTAAGACTGTGAGATAAGTCATGCTTTTCGAACTTGTAGTGCTTGTTTATCTAATCACCTGCGAAAGCACTGACAAGGAAGGCAACTGTAACCAAGTCGCAGATACAGATACATCAGCAGCATTTGGTTGAAATAAAATGTTACTATGTGGGATATTGGAGATATAGATTTTCCTTAATGTCAATTTCAATTCACACTTGATCCAATGCAGAAAATGGTATAGACTGCATGCCTGAAAGGGGTTTAAATAACACCTCATAAGCCAATTTCATCAACCTCTCCTCACTTAGAAGTATGCATGGCGTAATACAGTGCTGGTTTCCTGCTGGACTGTTTAGCGCAGTCATATTTTAAACTGACCTGTCCCTGCATATTCATGATGACCACAGTGTTGGAGCGGTTACACACTACAAAGTGCTCTGGGTTCTTAGGCAGCAGGATGACGTTGTTGACTGTGATGTCGGTGCCGGCTGACGTGCCCAGAGGCTTGAAGGTGTTGGAGCACTCAGTGGTCTTCATGTTCCACACCTGAAGCAGGTCGAACACAGTGAGATGAGACAGTCAGACACACACAGAATAACACAGACACAAAGATACCATAGTTGCAAGTTGCTTCTCTCACCTTGACTGTACCGTCCGAGGAAGCACTGATGATGTGGTGGCCGTCTGGAGTGAAGGTGGCCTCGTTCACAAATGAGGCGTGGCCGCGGAACTCCTTAAGGGTTTTACCCGACTTCAGTCCATGGATTCTTAAGCAAATAGAAATAGAGACTTTAATGCATGTTCACAAAATTATCCAAAAAAAAAAAAAAAAAAAAAAAGGTCATTGTTTGGTCTTTGTTGTTCCAAACTCCACAAAGTGTGAAAGGTGTTCTGTTTAGATATGAGTTTACCTGATGGTCTGGTCGAAGGAGGCACTGAGGAGCTGGCTGCTGTCTTTACAGAAACTGACGCATGTTACTCCTTTACTGTGGGCACGTTCAAACCTCCTCAGACACTGACCACTCTGGATCTTCCACACCTGCACACAGAGGGACTCATTTGTTTTTGCAACATGACACACGCAGGCAACTATCATGAGTACCATGAACTTCATACTATCAAATTACAGAAGATTATATTTACTGGAAATAATGATTCCATATTGTAATTTTGACTACATGCATTGCCTTTCGATTCATAGTTTTCACGTGACAAGCGCGGTGACCTGGAGAGCAAAATAACAGACCAACATAGCGGCTCACACCGCGACTCCCCCGTTGAGAAGCCGCAAAAGCAGTCAAATTTTATTTGGATCACCTTTCAACTAAAGAAAAAGAAAGATATGAACACAAGTGTTCATAACAAGAGTTGGGCATATCTGATCCATATAACGTTACAGCATCCGCTGCCACATTTCTACTGTTAAAAACCGCCAGGTCCCTGCCGCCGCTCGATTGCGGTAATGTTTACTTTTACCTTCTGGGGAATCCCTCACCTAACACAGCCCAGGCTCGTCTCCTCGATTAGTAAATTCAAAAGCACAACAACCATCCAGCATTGTGGCAACGCAAAAAAACAGTGCATCACTTGCTTATTGGTTGAAGGCAACGTAAAAAAATGACGTCTTTTTTGCCCTCCAAGGGAGAGTTTTCTTGGAATGTGACGTCATGTGAAAACTATGAATTATACAAATGTTAAACTCTCATAGTTACATTTCAATAATCAATAAACAAATAATGTTTTTGTTCAAAAGAAAAGTTGAAGGAATATGTTGGGAATAAGTAGATTCCCAACATATTCCTGCTGGACAGCGCTGTATTTAATTACATTTCATTATACCAGAAAAGGTTTTGTTTATCTCTGACTTTAGACACCTCATCAAAAGAAATCCCATGCATTGTGCTTAACACGACAACAATTTTGTTTTCATGTTTTCTCACCAACAATAAACAAACTCCTCATAGGCTGGAGTGTACAATTTTTTTTTAAAGAAACAGCACTGTAATCCATCTGTGCAAGAGGAAGAACAACCGGCTCAGCAAACTATTTTTATTTTTAGCTGTAATAGTAACAAAAGATGTAAGAGCAATAAAAGAGAAGAGGAATAGAAGGACCGTTTCACCTTGATTTTTCCATCCTGGGCTCCAGTGGCCAACATCTCTGTGTCTCGACTGAAGCACATACACAACACTGCATCGTCCATCATCATGAAGTTATCCTGAGCCTGGTATTTCAGATCCTTAAGGATGCAATGCACACATTTTTTTAAGTCAGCAGGCCTGTATTGTTATATTAAACCAGTAAGAAAATTTGTTTTAAGAGCGGATTTTTTGCATAAGATACCTTTCTGATTTTGCCAGTGGTGAAGTTCCAGACCTCGATGAAGCCGTCCACAGAACCAGTGACCAGGTATTGACCATCAGGGGAGAATCTGGAACACTCCACGTGAGATTTCTGTCCAAACTGTGCAGGGATGAAAAACAAGTCATGTAAGAACACTTAAAACATTTAATTAATGAAATTTACCATAACTCTTTGAAGTGTAAAATTAAGATGACAGTATGCTTGGCTGAATGCCACCTGGAACAGTGAAACAGCCCATTAGTGTTGCTTTCTACGATCCATACTTTGGGACAGTGTGGGTACCTTGATGTGTCTGGCGAGCTGGGTGGGGAAGCGCTCCTCTTCCACATCTTTAACGGCAGCTTTACCCCTAAACAAGTCGATAGTCATACCAGGAGGCAGGAGGCCCTGATGCTGCTGCCACTTCAGAGACTATGGGAGGAGAATGTTGACAGAGAATAAAATTATCATCAGCTCGTTATGTGATAGAAGCATAACTATGGGAACTATGCAAATTAGTTATTTTAGGGTGAGTCTGTTATTGAGGAATGACACTAATCACACCTGCAGGTTTCTAGATCATTTACCTGTCCCAGCAGAGCCATGAGACGAGAGGGTGGCACCACACTGACCTCCCCGGCCAGGGCCTGGGCGATAGCGGCCCGGCGCTTCTCCTTACTGCTGCCATCTGGATACGCCTGGACAAAAAAACACAAACATCAGAAACTCCAGTAATCTTTCAGACATTCTCTTAATCCAACATTCAGAATTTCTCCAATCTGAGTTTTGAGGGTAGATTCAGATATATGTAGCGTATTACATTTCCATCATTTGTTCTTGTGAGGATGAAGAATCCTTCTAACATTAATTAGCTAAAAGGAGTCACCCTTAAATAATGCTCAACAGTGAACCTGTGTATCTTATGAAGGGTGTTTGATATTTAGAAGCCGAAAGCAAAATGACCAACCTGACCAATTGATCCTTAAATGATTGGATAGATGGAAATATACCAGAACATAGATTGCATCTTGTTACACATCTGGTTTGGACTCACCTCTCTGGGATCGAAGTAAGAGCGAGCCAGCAGGTTCTCCAGGTGGATGTATCTCTCTGGCTGCGTCTGTTTCAGCATGATCATAGGGTCGGTCTGTCTGAGGAGTGAACGGGCTGCACCCAACTCTCTCAGCTCGATCAGCTCTAACACCACCTGGTCACGAAACAACACAGACAGAACTCAGAGAAAGCGTGACTTCAGGCGTGATCCACCTGGTTCTTTTCAATGAAAGATCTGTTGACACTGACTTATCTGAAAATTTATCAACTAAAAGAGGTAGGGATGCACCGAAATGAAAACTCTTGGCCGAATACAACAAAAAGCGATGGTCCGGTAAATTACATGCGTCTATTTGCTTTTATTGTACTAAGGTAATGTGTTTTATACTTTCTGTGAATATAATCCAATTAATCTTATTTCCATACTGTATAGACATCTTATTTTAAAACGGACGTTGTCACATGTGCATCCTTGTGCTAAATTCATCAAGTCCGACCCAATTTGATAAATAATGTTGTATACAAATACAAGGTAGTTTATTAGTCATTATACAGCACAAGGCTGCATAACGAAACAAATTTTGTAGTTCCTTCAAGCTACACACACAACATATTAACTTTAGGATGATATTGAAATATGGTAACATAAAATAAAACTGTACAGTTATTATATATATATATATATATATACATACATACACACACACACCGCAAAAATTGCACAGTGTGTGTGGAAACATGAACATGAAGACTTCACAGCCTCTCTTCAGGTAGAACTCTCATACTGCAACACTTGTCTTTGTAAAGACAACGCTGCAAGCAGCTGCAGGTAGAGCCGTTCAATTTCTGGCTTCCACCAGCCTGCTTGTCTAGGTGGCCTTGGACAAGATACTGAAACCTGAACCTGCTCCTGAAGGCTGTGTGAATGTCGCCATTACAGTCTATTTACCCCTAGAGATCAGCTAGATGACAAGTATGAGTTCAATGTAGGGTTGGACAGTATGACAATTTTAGAATAAGATAAGTAAGGCGTCCACAATCAACTTTCAAGGCGAATCTTACAGAGTTTAATGTCCTCTTACTTCTTTTTTTCAAACTTATTTGTATTACATTTAACCTCACTGACTAGCGCAATCAAGCTATGTGAATAAACCCATAGGGTGATGAAGCCAACTAGATGGCTATGCTAATTGGATGAATTCATGTGCCTCTTCCCTGGGTGACCACAATTTTTTTCCAAACCTCACCTGTTCATAAAGGTCTATCAGGGTCTTATCTGGCAGCTTGAGGGACTGGATGGCTTGCAGGACTGTATCCCAGTGGCCGCTGTTTATGTCTGCCACAAAGCTCTCTATACTGTCCACAGTGTTCAGAGACACTGTGGTCTCCTCCTGCAGCGTGGCCAGAGTCCGGTGCAGATTATTCTCCTTCAAGTACTGCATAATCAGACGGATCACGCTGCGGAAAACACAAGTCATTTGGATAAACATATGTTGGAAGACAGGTCAGCTGAAGCAAATTCAATTACAGTGTTGAATAAGGAGTCATAACTAGATGTTGGGGGATCTAGTAATAAGATTAATATAAATAACAATTGACTTTTCAACATTTGTTTTCCTCCTGCCACCTCCAAAGTTAAATAAGTGGTTAGGAACATCCCTGGTGGTAGGAAATAGAGCCCAATAGATAACTCATACAGCCAATATTATCAGCGAATATTGAAGTACAGAAATGCAACTAGGGATTACCGCACACTTTTTAATTGCCATTATAACCGTGTTTGAATACCAGACTCAGAGTAAAAACCTGTCGAGCTTTCACCAAAGTTTGCAACAGTTTCTCAAAAGCAGGCGCGCATGAGCAGCACACAAAGTGGGTTTGTTTGGGTCAATGACAATTCACAGCACTACGGAGATTTTTCAGCCTGTCAGAAGTCTTGTCACAATTTGGTTTTTATAGAAGAGTGCTGAGGGAAACTTGATGGAAGAAAATTGCCTTATAGTGAATGCAGGGTGAGTTCCCTTTTAGCTTTTGTTTGTCTGTCTGACTTGCTAACAGCTTGTAAATTGAAGCTCTCAGCGTTAGCTACCCTTGTAAAAACACTACACGTTGTTCTGCTGCTGTATTCATTGTGTGTCTGCAGACTATTCGCTCACCGCACAGTTCAGTCACCCCAACGACATATGTTGTTGTATGTAAAATCTGACAGTCAGTGTTTTAACAGGACAAACGCTGCAGACTCCTCTGCATTTATGTCAGTTGTTCGGCTCATTGCAACTACTATCACTGTCTTCTTCAAACTCATTTGTATTCATGTAATTGTGCATGGGGTCATTGCATTTACATGTGATGTGATGATATAAAAAAATATTTTATTTGTGGTTTTAAATATAAAACTTGGTGAAATAGTTTCAGTGTGTGTATCAGCACATTTGAACAATACAGTGATAATACTGATCACCATGATAGTTTTGGTCACTATAATCGTGATATGATATTTTCATAGCGTTTTATCTCTAAATGCCACAGACTGGTTTGTGGAAGTTTAGAAAGAGTGCATTGTTTGCACATTTAGTTTGTAATGTGCCGACTCTTTTGATTATAGATTTATGTTTAGACTCTCAAACATTGATTTCAACACCAGTTAAGAAATACCGAACTGCCAGACATCGCACTTAAGAACTATATTAGGAACATTTAGTATGAAACAAATTTGGTCACTTTAATAATTTGTTTGCTGCTTAACGTTGCTTTAATAATTAAACTTAACATCTCCGGTTGGAGCAGTTTCTGTGGCTAACGTTACCGTGTATGGTGGCAAGAGACAGTGTAACATTAGCGTTAGCTAATGCTAACTTATTCAAACTCACATAACTTGACTTTCTTTAAATTATCGTGGCGACTATAAATGCAAAGTAATGTGATATTATAAATAACGGAGCAACACTTCAGAGTGATATTACCGTCACTTCGGTATTCAAGAGCAAATAACATCCATGGGGTTGAACGTAAGTTAGCTTGTTAGCTTAGCTTAACCCGCTAACGCTAGTGGACTGCAGCAAGGATGAGTCAGGCCTCATTAACAGACACTACGATCAAATGTGGCGTTATTAGCAGGCGATTTTTTTTAATTTAAGGGTAATTAACTGGTCTACTTACTCTGCGGATTCCACCTCCAAAGACATGATTATTTATCTCAAAACAGTAGCCACAAGATACTCTCGAGTCTGCAGCAAGAAACCACACAGTCTATGCCAGAAACACGCAGGACAGAACGACGCAAACACGGAAGTACTGGGAGGAGTCAAGATCTTCAAAATAAAACGTTTATTGAAGTTCAAAATAAGCTGCCCCTGTATGTACACCTCTGAATTTGTGTTTAGGAACAACATACACAATTTAATTGGAAAAAATAGCCTTACACCCTACGTTATTTTTGATGAGAGAGTGTCAATTGTTGATTTCAGTCTGGGATATGATATTGTTCTCATGTCAAGTAAGTTTCTTTCTACCTATTAAATATAATTGAATGTGTCTATATTTTCAGTTTAATTAAACTCCACCAATTCATCCATCCACACAAGGGGCGTCACTTTGTGTTAAAAAGTGGTGGGGACATAAAGGCACAGATTAGGGGCATGACGGCACAAGTGTACCACAAAATTTGACGACTGTCAAAAACAAGATGATTTTTAATAAATATGAAATGCTGAAATAAATGAGTGGGGTGTCTGGGTGTCCTCCTCCAGAAGATTTTGAGCATTAAACACTTAATTTCCTGGTTTTTGGAGACATTTTCTGCTTTATTTATGTAAAGAGAAATTCAGCTGCTAGGTGACAATTCATAAATATAAAAATATTTCAGAATATAATGCAGTAATCAGCAGCTTGTTTTTTGTAGCTGAAGTTACTTTTTTTTGGTCAATGCTCATTTGTTTCTTCTACATTTAAATTGCATTGCATGTTTTTTATTGTGCAAATAAATCTTTTACAAAGCATTTTCATTTGTTAGTTAAAATTTCTTGGTGCAAGATATTTTCAGAACATTTTTAACAAATGCTTTCAAAAAGTTATGGGGACAAAATCTTTCAAAATGTGGTGGGGACATGTCAGCATCCACCCCCTCCCCGCCAGTGTCCCCCGTGTAAATGACACATATGCATCCACAATAATAAGCAGTCACGGTGGTTATTATAGTAGTTTTAATATACACCTAAGATCATGTATTCTTAAAAACGAGTCCAGGGATTAACAAGAGTCATTGAAGAAGCTTCCATGGACACCATTAGGATTACTTTTCTGCTTGAAGTTAGTTGAACATGAAAATATATCAGGATAACTATTTATCAATATTGTTTTCATTGGACTGGTTTTCTTCTTGTCTCATTCTATATGATGTCAAAGCATGTATTGTGATGGGCCTTTTGTGCTAATCTTAATGTGCATCGCCATCCCCACATACCCCCCACATCCCCCCCACCATTACTAGTTTTTCTTCAAGATGACCAACAGAGGGTGCTATCTGCACAGCTATCACTCAGAGGTCCTCTTGACTCTCTTCTCTCTGCCAGTGAAGGTCTTTCAAGGTTATGATGATTATGATGCTCAGTGCAGCACCACTTCAGTCTGCAGTCCCACGGCCTGGGTTTGATTGTTTTGGGCAATCATGACATAATCCCGCTATGAGCCCCATCCACATTGGAAATGAATTTGGCACCAAGAACGCAGCAGACCTTGTTTGGTTTCATTTGCCTTTGCAGATGGAGAAATATATTGGGAAGCGATGAGGAGAAATACAGAGGATGGGGAGGGGAGGAGTGGTGTTTTCACACAATACCAACAACACCGCAGTGATTCTGAATATATTAGCCTAACAGAAGAGCAGAAGAAAGACGTCAATATAATTTTGCTGTCCTCTGGCATGACAAAGCAGAGGCTGTTTTGAGAATGCTTACTGTACCAATGAGGGAGACGCCACCACACTGGAAGAATGACAGTGGCACAAAAGGCTGTAATGTAATCATTTTATCCTTTCCGAGAAAAACAAAGAAAATTCTAAATTTATGTGAGGTGCCATTCTCTGTGTGAAATAAAGTTACCCTTTTCCATCATAATTAGAGCTCATTACCACCACAAAGAAACGTAGCCTTTCTTCGCTCTGTCAGGAAGGAAACTAACACTTTGTGAGAACATACACATAAATTCCACCTGCCCAGTGATAGAGGAGAGTGCTATGAATTCATGTTTGGATTCACTACACTGCACTACCAAATGCTTTTTAAGCCAAAAAAAACAAAAACACAAAAGAGAAAGCACTTTCACAGTGTGTCATTTGTTTACACTCTGGTTAAAATGACCAAATCCTGATATGTATGAACTAAACCCTGTATTCTGGAAAATATAAACATACTGCTTCTGAAATACATTTTTTTTGCACAGTTCAACATTTCAGGCACGATCCACCCAATCCCAATTGCCTGTGTTCTCATGGAAACCATTTTAATTGCTAAACTGAAATGACCACTTGGTCACACTGAATACTCTAACAATAATAACAAGTCAAGGCATTGAGCCAAGGGCAACTTGTTTAAAAGATATATAGATGAATTAATCAATTAGTGACACTGCCACAGAGTGTGGAAAAGGGAGAGGATGATGAGGGTGAGGAAGAAGTGGAGAAAGAAGAGCACCCAGGGATTGGTGCAGGGCTGGATCTGTCATGACAGGCCATTTTTACGGAAAGCGACATCACTCTCTGTGGTCTGGATACGATCCTATGACAGAAGTCCAGATTACTTCTCTTATTGTGACATCAGACAGCTGTCCTACTTTCTCAGATTTTACTCCATTCTGAAATCAGCATGCCCTAAATAAATGAAATCGGCAGAAATGTACACTTGTTACATCAGTGTATTTGTGTTGTGTGGGCAATAGAAACATCATGTACTTCACAAAATGCACACCAGGATGTATAAACACAGAAAGTGAACCAGTTTTAATGAAAACACAAAATAATGGAACCTGGAAGCATGTAAAAGCATTGCAGATTTGAGTTAGAAAACTCTAATACGCACAGTATAGGCTTGGTTGTAGGTTTTATTTAAATACAAAATTCAGTACTGACACAAAAAAGATATGAATGTAATTATTACCCTCCTGTATTTTTCCGTTTTGAGAGACATTGGGTGTGCCAGTAATTACACAGAAATGCAAACAAACGCACATGGGAAATAGGAATACCTGCTGCATATCATAGCTGAGATTCAGTAGAATTACTTTTTAATGGGGATAATACCAGATAAGAATAAGTTACACATAATACTAAATCTTTGTGATGTCTTGTCAGCTAAAAAGGAGATTACAGGTGTGCTGTTGGAGGAGGATGCGCTGGCTTTTTTGCTTTGCATGCATGCTGCTTTTCAGCTAAACTCTGCATATTACCAAACACTGAGATACACATACCAAGAAAAACACAATTTTATATTCATGGTTTAATTTCGGATTAGATGTTAGATTCATGATCTAGATCAGACTAGAAAAATGATAATTAATGCAGAATTTTCATTTTACTCTAATTCTTTGATTGTTGGACTCAATGGTATCAGATTTACAACATGACAGAAGAAAAAATATGAACTCAAGCACTTCCACAAGCAGTGTGAACTGAGTTGTTTGCTGTGAACAGCTAGAATTGAGCATTACATGATGTACCGTGCTCAAGAGTACATCACTGATGACAGAAGGGAGAGGATTGATCAGTGCATGATCAGAGGTTTGTCACTTCCCAGTGAGCAACAAATCTGCAGCCTTATTCCCTAACCTGACATGGTGGTCATGGTTAAGGAAGATAAACTTAAATCTGTGAGCAAAAATAACAAAAACAAACTGTGAGTGCAATAGGAAACTTGACAACATACTTTAAATAATAAATAAATAGATTTTAGTCCAAAAGCTCTGCAGCCGTGTTCCATACGTAAGTGGTTTAACTGTCCATTGGAAGAAGCAAGAAGTCCTCGTACCCAAACAGCAAAATAGAAATTTCTCAGTGCTTTACAAATTAACACGATACCCACAAACAACACGTGTGAACTCTGCTTTGCACCCTCTCTGATTAAGGTTTGGTTAAGTTAAACCAACTTAATCTACTGGTTTAAGGTCTCCGGTGTCAAAGTCAGACATTTTGTATGCTCATCACTCCTTTCTCCCTCCTTAAAATGTTTTGTGACATTTTTTTGTTAATGTTTAACTGAGTGGAGAAGGTCATTACTTGCACAACTGGAAGGAAAGGGTACACATATACGTAGGTCATCCTGAGCAGCGGAACACATGACTGATGCTGTAGCTTTTCTGCTGAAGACAGATAAAAAGACAACAAGCAAGATGCTGTAGGAGGATACATGCCAGTCTAATATTAGCATGAGCTGGAAATTGAAATCTGATTTGTTGGACAAAAACATTCACACATCCATCAAACTATACACTGCTGATTTCACATCATTTCCAGAAACCAGCTTATTCAGAGAACATTACAAACAAAAAAACCCAGCAAAATCAGACAACAAAGCCTCATTGCTTTGTTGGTTTTGTTTATGTCTCTTTAAGAGCTTTGCCCTTGATTGCACTCTTTGGCCGAATACAATGAACAAGGGTCCATTAATTTGCTACAGAGAATCTACTTACAACTCCTTGCTAATGGTTGATTTCTTCACCAGTCAGTCAGCCCTTGAGTCACAAGTGCTAGAAGTTGGGAGGTGTGTTTGTTTGTGAGAGGTACTGATGACTGAGAGTGGTGGTAGTGGTAGGGGTTGGGGGGTATCGTCCAGGTAGAGCAGTGTCAGTCCTATCTCAGAGGACTCATTTAGGGACTCACTTATTGATATTCTCAGTCTTCTTGACACAAAAACAGAACAAATGAGCCACACTGTGGCTGCAGAATTGTATTCAGAGAGAAGGTGCACAAACCCATACAGAGACGTAGAATTGGGTGCATTCATGCTGTAGCAGCTTGCATTGGACCGCGATAAATTACAGGCCATCAAGGTGATAAAGCATTGAGCTGGAAATGGGATTGTGTTGGTAAGGCACTGTATGAGGGAGTGAACATGTGAACTTATATCTATTGGTCCTTGAGCAGTCTGAATAAGAGAGGTATGCAGCAGGGCTACCTGTGACAATGTAAATAGGG